AAGGAATCTGTTATTCTTCTAATCATGATTCTATTAGAGCTCTAGTCCTAAAACAGTACTTTATAAAATAGAAGATCACTGTGCAGCACCAAAGGACAGTCTAGAGGCTTTACCTTTATAATTGATTTCCAGAGCAGTGACTATTTTATTGCAAACACTTAAGAACACTGTGCAAACAGTCAGTTAATGAATGTTTTGAAAGTGGAGGTGTTTTTTATACATTTGCTGGTATCTAAGCAGCTTGAGATTTAGGACGGTTGCATGTACCTTTACTGCCACCAATTTTGAAAGCATTGGTCCAGACAGGTTGAATCAACTGGAGACAATTTTTGAAACAGGAGCAGATATGACGATTCAGGTCATTGTAATATGCAGTTTAGTAATCTAATCTCACTGTTATTGGCTAAGTTATTACTTGTGATGTTCTTTCTTACAAGAATTAACATGGAAAGGAGAGTGGCAGGCAAGAGATGAGAAAGGAAGGCAGCAGCAGAAACAAGGGGATGCATGACAACAGGATGGAAGCCTATTTAAAGGGAGGGGAGAGGAAAGCAAGAAGAGTGAAGCATAAAACAAGAGTAAATGTAACTTCATAATTAAGAAAAGAAGAACAAGAAAAGGTGGATGTCTGTGTTGTGCTGTAGTCCTGTGGTTCTGATGCCTCAGTGTCATCTGCAGGAGTTTGTTCCTCAGGATGTGCATCTGTATAGGGTGTGTATGCATTTAGAATTCATGTGCAAGCCAGAATGTGTTCAGTTTAACAGCTGCTCCTGACAAGCTGTGGAGGTGGTTTCCACAGCAAGCCTTCGAGCACTGCTGGCCTTAGTGACTTGCTGCCCTTTCCCCAGGTACAATATGCTGCCAAGGGCTTTCTAGAAAAGAACAGAGACACCTTGCCAGCCAGTATCCGTGGGCTCTTCATCAACAGTGTCACCCCCTTGCTCAGTGTGCTGTTCACAGGCAAGTCCCTCTGCTATGATAGCACATCCATCAGGCATCAAGGCCCAGCCTCGTCAAGAATTAAGTGTGGCTTGTGTGTTATGAGTGTGTTTCACAGTTGGCAGTCCCAGGGAGAGTCCTTCAGTAAAATCAACTCTGAATTTCTCATCTTGTCACTGAATTAGGTTAAAGCTATCTGAGTTTATATAACCTGACTGCTGTAGGTAAGCTTCCCATTTGCTATCTGGTTTTTCTGCATTGTTAGATGCCTGTTTATGATATTTCTTTTGAAAATCATTCAGGTTTGTTTAATAACCTGGTTGCCTTGTCTTCTCAGTGGCAGAAAATAATATTGCCTGCATTGTATACTTCATACATTAGTGGTTTTTTCCTTTTTTTAGCACTTTCCTTGTATTTCCACATGGTGAAACCTAACACCCTATCTGCAATTCAGTATTCTTAGGGAGACTTGTGTGAAGTGATGTTTGAATGTTTAGATATGGCTGACTGCAAATAAAGGTACAAAACTAACTATAATCTCTGTTTTTCCAGCCACTGTCTCCAGGACGGGGACACTGATGTCTCATGTGAAAGCTAAGGTATTGCACTTCAGCTCCATATGGCAATTGATAAATGATGGCATAGTTACCTGATAATTATTATTTGAGAATCTGGCTGAAAGAGAGCAGACAGAAACTGATTTAAAATAGGAGCAGAGAGCAATCAGCTTGCAACAATTTCTCCTTTGTTTTTTACTGTGTTTTCTGCTTGCTTCTGCTGTTCATATGTTTCACTTGTCTTCCCTTCCCTGAAATACGTTCTCTCTCCTTTTTACCATCTGCCTTCCAGCATAACTCTTTGGCCATCAATCAAGTGCTTATTCCAGGAGTGATCTTTTGTTTTGGTCTGGTTTCAGATCACACCAGGAGCAGATGACAAGTTCAACAGCACACGGAAACAGTCTGCTGGAGCTCAGTTCCGGGTACAGAATTGCTGCCCTGCAGTGCTGCTTGAGATGAGTGCAATGATATTTTCATTGGAGCTTCCAGGCTGCTAAGCACAGTTAAAGCATCCATTGTCTAGACAGGGGTTTTCCTGGGTGCCAAGCACAGCTGATCATGGTGGGGCTGACCCAGTTGTTGTCAGAGCCTAGAAAGTTGCTGCAGGGTGAGAAAACAGTTCTCACTGCAGGATATTGCGCATGAGGCTCTGGCAGTGGTTTGTCTTGATGGCCTGTTGATCTTCCTCTGTCCTTGCCAGCATTCCCTGACAGTGCTCATGGAGAGGATGTATTCTGCCAACCCACACTTTGTGCGCTGCATAAAGCCCAACAGCCTGAAGGAGCCAGGTGTGGTGGATGACCAGGTGGTGCTGCTGCAGGTAAGGAAAAGCAATGTCCTTTACAGGTACTTCTGCCACTTCTCAGACGTGGGAGGGCAAACCTGGCCAAAAGGCTGTGGAAACTGACTGGTCTGAGTCTCCCCTTGCAAGAGAAAGAGTCACCACACTTTATATACATGCTGAGGTTCTGTGTACTTGGTTGCTTTTGTGGCACACACTGCTAGGTCCAGATTTTGCAGTCTTGATCTCTCCCATTTCTTTTTCATGAATGCAATGAGATGTGCTTGTCAGACAGTAGGATTCATCTCTTCATCTCCTCCTGGATGGGGACTGGCACAGACAATACTCCAGAAAAAAATGCTCCCAGAGGAGATTGTTTTCACCCATCACCCAGGGCAACTCTGAATAGGAACAAAGATGGGATTGCTTTGATAGGACCTGAAATGCACTGATAGGACTATATCTGGATATTGTGTCAGGTCTGAGGTCTGGATGCTTAAAAGAATACTGAAAATGATTAGAAGAGTTCAGAAAGCTCAGTGGCCTGTTTAATGTGTATAAGAAAGGATAGGATTAAGGGGAAGTTCATCCATGCCTCAGAGTACTTCTGTGTCCAGATTTGGAAATAAAAGCCTGTCCTCTAGGGGACAGAGGCAAAGCAGTAGCCATGGCTGGATGGTGAAGTTATTTCAGTCTTTGGAGTTTTTTATGGTTTCCAACTTTCAAGTGAGAGTGGTTAATCATCAGAGTTGCAGGATGGTAAGTTCAGTCTTTAACCAAGAAAGCATTTTCAGGAAGAAACTTATTCATTTTAAGCTGGAGAGTTTTAGGGCTGAATGAAGTAATTTCTGGGAGCAAAGGAACAAACTGTCCTAATGACCTGTTTCTCTTTGTTGCTCTGGTCCTCTTTGTGGTGATGCTTCAGCTCCGGTACAATGGGCTGCTGGAGACAATCCGTATCCGAAGAGATGGTTTCTCCTGGAGACCTTCCTTTGAGGAATTTGCTGAAAGGTTTGTTAAAACCTCTGAATGTTCCTTGTTAGATATTGTTAGGGAAGCAACCCTGGTGACCAGATACAGGCAAGGAGTAAAACAGCCTCTTCAAAGTTCATGTGGCCTGAGATCATGGGGTTGTTTGCTGTCAGAAGCTGAGTGGGAATGACAGTGATTTATTGTTGTTTGCTGTCAGAGGGACATGGATCAGTTCAGTACATCAATGATGTGGCTCTTACATATCCATATTTGTTTTTCATCCACAGATATGGAATTCTCCTAGTTAAACCCAGTGTTTCCCTCACAAAAGAAAGGTAGGAACACTTCCTTTTTTATGTGCAATCCACTTTGTTCTTCAGAGGCTCTTACTCTGAGTAGCATAGCAAACTCAGTAAAAGGGGCAAAAGGAGGATGACTTTTTGTGGTGATGGACAATAAAAATCCCAGGCAAGGACATTTGTTATCTAAAAAGTATTTGGTACGGTGACGAATGAAATCTTTCTTGAGTTGTGATGTTTCAATTCAATTACCAGAAAGCCTTCCTATCCTGTGGAATGAAAACCGGCCAATGTACTCAATTTAAGGAATGACAACAGTGGTCAAGGGTGTCCACTGAGCTCCGTATGGCAGGGATCAAGCACAATGGCCAGGTGCCTCCAGGATTTTTCCTGATGGCCTTATGGGTATAGCCAGCACTGAATGTCTCTCAGGCTAGAGAGGATGTTTCTACACCAAGGATTTTGTATGTGTACAGACAATATAGCCTCAGCACTTTCAGAACCTGACTATTCCTTACACACATAAATGTCCTCCTAGCTCTGAAGAGGAGTATAGTCTTACCCTGTCAGCTTTTTCCTTCCTACATCTTGGGCAGCAGTTCCCCACCTCCTCTTCTCCACTTTCCCAGTCCCTCTTTCCTGCCAGTGTCAATTGTGACTGATAGTGAGAATGAATCATGTCAGGCAGCCAGCTTAGGGAGGTTTTTTTCAATCATTTAAGGAAAGGATTTGAATGATCTCCTGGAACAGTTCTCTCCTGGCAGTAGCTCCTCCAGCCTTCACAGTTCTTCCTTGATTTCCTGACAGTTCTGAATTAACAAGAACTGCAAACCCAAGTGAGGTCACAAGGGAATCTCATAGATGGGAGAGAGATGGTTGTAAACAGGCCGCATGGTGTGTTTTCAGACACAAAAATCATAGTATGCATTTGAGGAAAAAAATCCTGTGGATATGACTGTGGCACTGTGGAAGTTGGCTGAGATCGAAGGAAAACCACTTCTGCTTTGCCGTGTGAGATAAAAGGGCCACTATGATTTCACAGCCTGGATTTGCAGGCAGAGGGAGGAAGCTGTCTGTGTGCTGCAGCTAGTGTAGTGCTTTCAGTTCCAAGTGTCAGGGAATCTTTCCGAGTGACCCAAATTTTGTCGCTAGACTCTGGAAAATCAAACTGGAGTTGGAAAACAGGCTTTCTCCCACAAGTCTTGCTGTGTCAACCTTGCAACTTGTGTCGTCCAAAGGGTTTGGAAACAGAATGAGGGAAAACAGTTCTAAGAATAAAATGGGCTCTGCAGAATTGCCTCCCAGGGAGTTGAAGGAAATCTGCCTTTGGGAACCACTTTGCTGATGTTCCCAAATGTGATCCTAGCTGTACCTCAAGGAGCACTGCAGACTGACAGCCAGTTACTGACTGTTGAGAATTTCTGAGGCACTGTCTTCCCCTTTATGCACCTAAAGCTACTGGCAGCATGGTGTGGAACATTATTTATTTCACTTTTTTCCTCTGTTTCAGCTGCTTGGAGATACTGCAAAGCACAGAGCTGAAAGGCTGGATATGTGGGTAGGTTTGGATCACTATTCTTGGGAATGGGGAGCCTGAATTGTAAAGACTTTATACACATAGACTATTACCTGGTTCCCTTCAGAGATAACTTTATGGTTGTAAGAAAAGCCTGTGCACAGGATGATGAATGCAAGTTTAGACAGTGTTTCTCACTGCATCTTTTTCTTCCCCACTTCACAGAAAGTCAAGACTTTTCTTTAAATACTGGCACCAGGAACAGCTGGCAAAGTATGTGGAGCGACTGGAAAGAGCAGCAGTTGTCATACAGAAAGGTGGGCAGCAGGGCAGGAGTGTCCCTCAACTCTAATCTCATATCAGGAGAAGGAAAACCTTTTCTGCAGTCCCTGCTCCACCACTGCACCTTTGCAAATGACAGAAGGGCAGACCAGGCACCATCTCCATGTCAAGGCCCTGTGAAGTCAAAGTGGTTGTTGCAAATGCCCACGTCCTTGGTGCTCATCCTTAGTCAGGGAGAGCCCTCAGACAGTGGGGGCCTTGGAAGGGGAAAGCATGTGTGCAGGAGAACTGAACTGAGCAGGGCAGGCACATGATTTGGCTGTGTATTGAGATCTGTCTAGCTGGCCTCTAGAGTAAAGGCTTGTTTGTGAGTGGTGTTGAACTGAGGAGAGGGAAATGAGTGAAGTCCTGCTTTCAGAAACTGGCAGAAGGGGATGAAGCTTTGGTCTAGTTTGGTCCTTTCTTTCCTTTCCATGTAGCATCTGTTCTGGCAGCCTCTTTCTCCAGATCAGGCACTGTGGGCAGTTTGGTACTTCCTTCTGCACAGGCTCCATGAGGGCTGTGCAACCAGGAAGAGGAGGAGGCTCTCACCCTACCTGGTCCCTCTCTGTTGTATTTCTCTTCTGTACGGGTTGTTGTACTGCTGAAGCATCTGAGCAGCTTCCAGCTGTGCACTATGCAGTGTGACAAACATCAGACTGTCACATGCTGTGTATTGTTCTCATCCATAGGGAAGACATGTGGGTAGTGGGAAATGAGAGGGTGCAGCTTACAGTTCATGTGCTTTAGTGCCTGGTAGAGTAGGAGGAATCATGCAGTGTGGGTCATGCTCCTGATGAATCCTGTGATGGCTGCTTATGGGAAAGGTTTCCCCGTGGGCTGACACCAAGGAAATCCTGTCTTCTTTATGGTGTCTGAAGGGTACAAGGGAGATAGATTGTTAACAGGCCCTTCTATGAGACTTTGATTTTTAGGTATTCAGTGCCTTGGCATTAGAGATGAGAGCTTAGATCTGAAATTTGGTTTCCGCGAATCTATGATCTGCAAGCTTAGAGGGTAGAAGACAGTTCTCACATAGCTTTTCCTGTTCACAGTAGAGTTTCCATTGCTCTTTATCAGTATGATTCAAGAGTTGAGGGCTTTGCACTTGGTGAAGGAATATCACTCAGTGTTCTTCCCTGGGAGAGTGACAAAGGCATGAACAGCGCTTTTTTTCCCCCTTTTTTTCCTAACCACAGCTTTTCTCTGAACAGTTTTTAGGGGATTCAGGTGCAAGAAGAGTTACCTAAAACTGGTGTCTGAGCTGAGAGCTCAAGCACAGCGGCTAAAGGAGGAGGCAGAGAGAGAAAGAAGTCAGCAGCTGGCACCGGAGACACAGACCCAGAGTGAGTTGCTCCCACTCCCACTGCCCCAGTGCTTGGCCACTGGTGCAGTGATCACCTTGAAGTGCTGTAAGCTCCAGGTGATGATGGCCCTCAGCTCTTCCTGGACTGGGGACTTCCATTGCTGCAGCAGGCAGGGAGGTGCTGATGTTTCTGCTGTTTGAAAGGGTGACTTGTCTGTGGGGAGCAGAAGGTCATTTGTCTGGCTGTGCTGGAAGGGCAGCCAGGTTGTCTCTTTCCCACATACCCTGTGCAGCAGAGCCTGTCCCTGTCCTCGACACATGGATCTCGTGCATCTTGGATGTTAGATTTCACATACTTATTTCCTCATTACAGAAAAAAATTTCCTTCCAGTCCCCAAGCCACGAAAGAGGTACCTTCAATCTAAACCCCATTCTTCTGATAAGCCACAGCAGCCACCAGTGCCACGGCCACGCAGCAAACTGACAGAGGTAATGATATGGGCTCTGCTTGGGGCACCTTAGCCAGACGACTGGTTCCCTGCTCCATCAGCCTTCTGCCTGCACACGCTCTCCTGCATGTGGTCCCAGGAAAACGTAGTCATTCTTGTTATGAGAAGTGAGAGTCCTTTCCCACTGTGGTTAGTTAAAAAGCATGGCCAGGACCTCTGAGGAACTAAAAGCAGTGTTTGATAGTTTGCAACTGATCTTGTCTTAAGGGACTCAGGAATGGGATCACCTAGCAAAGTGATCCCTTCAAAGGTCCCCTGCCTTTGATCTTACTCTCATGCCCACTTTTCCTCTCTCTCCACTTCCAGTTCACTCCTTTTGATAACTTCTTGGGCCCTTCTGCACCTTGCCCTGTTCTGGGGACAGAGGAACAGACGGAAGAAGAAGCAAAAATGAGGAAACTCAAGAGAGGAGCAACTCTCCGTTGGTTCAAAGAGACACAGGCCCAGAAGGTCATGCAGGATGATGGGGCCTTTCCAAGCTGGCTGCATGGGATGATCAGCCGGCGGTGAGTACATTGGGCACAGTGGTTGTATTTTTGGGCTGTGACAGGCAGGCAGTACCCACGGTGTCCTTAGGAGGACTGCATAGCTTGGATTTGCCTGGCTTTGTGTCCTTAAGGAGTGGGAGTCACCTGCATAACCTTTCCATTTTAGGCTCTGTGTGTGTCAAAGCCTTAGCGGGAAGCTTGGAGGTCGCCATCACAGGGTGCAAATGCTGAAACTTTACATAGACCCAGGCAAAGACTGGAAATGCATAGAAAATAAGCTCACTGCGTGTTCTTATATACAGATCCCAGGCAGGAAAGGAAGGCTTGTAAAGTAATTGGAGAGGAAATATGCACATGTGTTTGCCCCATTGTGGACCATTTGCAGAGCATGGTACGGAATGAAGATGGGCTTTTGGTCTGACTCATAATGACTGTTTTCATATCTCAGTTTAGGTCAGGAGAAGACCTCAGTTTCCATCAGGATAATACAGAATTCAATGTACATCTATTTTTAAAAGCTTTAGTGAGTGCCCAATGGCAAAATTCCCCCAAAGTCCTCCCCACCCCCTGGAGATTCAGGAAAAGGAAGGGTTTTTGTTGATACCTCTGCCCACATAAGAAGGGTGCAGCATAGGTGGAGTTTACATCTTAGCCATGAGAGACATCGTCAAAGCCCAACTTTCTTATGGAGTTATTTACAAGACTGTGAACTCTAAAGCTTTTTGTCGCAAAAACCCTTATTTAGAGGCTTGAAGTTCTGCTGCTGGGTCTGCCTCACACAGCACTCACTGGGCTGAGCCAAGCACTGTTTTCCAAGGAGTGTGATAATCAGAGAAATACTGATTATGCCATTGATCAGACAGGAGCAGAACAGGAGCATAGCCTCATATGCAAATTGATCTGTGGTGCTCCAGGCTTGCCAGCTGCCAATATCTTGTAATTGGTGGGATTTCTGTGTGGGCATTGCTGCCAAGCATGCCTGTCATGTGAGCACCCTCATGATCTTGTTACAGTTTCTCACTTTTTTTCTGTTAAAACTGCAAGCCTCCTTCAGTCTTACTAGATCACTAGTTTCCAGATTTTGTCAGGTTATCAGTGTGAACATTCATACAGAGACATTTCACAGCATATTAGCTTTGTAAAGGACACAGCAATAGTTGACAGCTCCCTGGTAGCTGCATTTCTTTCTTCTTTTTAAAAATACTTATCTAGGCCCTAGCCTGCATTAATGTTTTTGTCCACAGATCAAAGAATGTAGGAGAGGAACGGGAAGACAAAATTGTCTGAATTCAAAGATAGGCTAGCCATGAGCACTTCACAATGAAGGACATGGCAGATTCTTGCCAAGGACACTGAGAATTAGATACCTTGTAAGTGATGCCTAAATGGAATCTTTAGTCTCCATACAGCAGTGTAAGCTCAGCCTCATGAAATGGAGCAGCCAGAGCAATCCCAAATTGCCGTGGTCATTTGCAGTCACCTTTAGCCTGGAGCAAGGCACGTGACAAGCACAAAGCAGAGCTTTGTCGGTTGGGCAGAGAGGGGGAAGACCTCCTTCCAGCAGGAAGTTTAGAGAGCCAGAATGGTATAATCCAATTTGGTGGTTTTCCAAGGCACTGGGCTTACCCACTGCCCCACAGCATCCCGACTTCTTCAGCCCTGGAGCATGGGAAACACACATGTGCACAGACTCCTCATCTAGGTGATGCTTTGTAATGTGCCCTGTGCTGGCAGGCAGCTACTGCTATTGCATTAGTCAGACTCCTGCAGCAGGTTTGGAACAGCCCTGCTTGGATGGACTTGGGCTGAGAGTATTGTGCCTCCTCAGCCTGCTCATACCTCCTGCACCACCAAGCCTGAGTCCAGAAATGTGTAGCTAGGAGCTCTTGGGGCAGATGCTGACCTCCCTCTTGTCTGGGAACACTACCATGGTGGCACGTGAGATAGGATGGGCATCTCTGCTGTGTAACAGAGGCAGCTGCTCACTCTCCACTGAAAAAGCCTTTGCTGATTCCAGGGAAGCTGAAAACTTGCTGAGTGACAAGCCTTTGGGTTGCTTCCTTGTTCGGATCAGCCAGAGCCAACCAGGATACACCTTGACATACAGGTAGGTAATGAGCCTTGCAGAGAAGGCTTGGGGGAGACCTTGTCACTTTGTGGTACCTGAAAGGAGTTTGTAGCAAGGTGGGGGTTAGCCTTTTCTCCCAGGCAGTTAGTGACAGGATGAGAGGACATAGCCTCAAGCTGTACCCGAGTAGGTTCAGTTTAGACATCAGGAGGAATTTCTTCATGGAAAGGACTGTCACGCATTGGAATGGGCTACCCAGGGCAGGGTGAAGTCACCATCCCTGCATGTATTTAAAAGATGTATAGATGTGGCACCTGGGGACGTGGTTCAGTGGTGGACTTGGCAGTGCTGAGTTAATGGTTGGACTCAAGAATCTTAAAGGTCTTTTCCAGCCTAAATGATTATGTGATTCTATGAAACAGAGCCCTGCATGAAATTCTATGATCCTAGAATTCTACAATCATAGAATTCTGGAATTCTGTTATTCTATAAAATCACTTGACTAGAGGAACTGACCTGCTCCATGGAGAAGTCCAGTGAGGATGATGCTCAGCCTCTCCTGTTGTGGGTGCCTCAGACAGTTTGTAGTAGCAGTCAGGACACTGCAGAGTCTGTCTCTTCCCAAAAAATAGGGCTGTTCGTGGGTGGGGTGCTGTAGCTTCAAGGTTAGAGACATGCTTAGGCTGTGCTAAATGACTGAGTGGGCAAACCAGGTTGGAAGAAGTATTGAGATTGCTGCTCCTCCAGCAGCTGTGAGCACAGCATGTTAGCGCACAGCATGTCTCCTGCCTCTGTGTGATATTCATTACTGTGGATCCTGATCACATTTGGCCTTTTGAGACTGGAAGTGCAGAAAGCAGGAACCATGTCCTGGAGAGGTGCTGCAGCCCCGTGCCATGACTGTTTCTGTCTGTCCATCTCCCCAGGGGCAAAGACCGCTGCAGACACTACATGATCCGGATGCAGGCCAACGCACGCTATGTCATCCTGGGGGAAGACCGGGCTCACGCCTCACTCACAGAGCTGGTTCGCTATTACCAGACCGTGGGCATCCGGCCCTTTATGGAGATACTGACTGTTCCCTGTGGGCAGGTGAATGCCAGGGATCTGCATCTGGAAAAGGGGATGGGGCATGGACTGTGCCTTGAGTGGATAGAGTCATTGCAGCAGCATCTCTGTTGTGTTCCTGTTGGGGGGTGTCCCATTCTGGCCAAGCAGCTTGGCTGCTTCCACATGTACTGGGGAGTCCTGGGCTGGGAAATGCTACTAGCAGGGC